CTCAGGCAGACACGTTGCGTCCTGCGCCCATCCCAGGCTCGGCCAACATCAACGACCGGAGCTTGCTGGGGAAGCGAGACAGTGAGCTGGCCGTGCTGATCGAGGACACAGAGATGGAACCATCCCTCATGGACGGTGGGGAGTATCAGGCGGGCCGGTTTGCTTTGAGTCTGCGGAAGCACTGCTTCAGGTAAGGCCGGGTGGGGAGCTACCGGCGTGGCGGGGAGGCACAGGTTGGGAGGGGGTTACTCTGCCTCTGGAGCGGGTGCGAGGGTTTCCCAATCTAGCATAGGGTACCGGGAAAGTAGGGATATCAAGACCATGAGAAACATATATTAAAAAGATCCGAAGCAGGTTCCAGGCTCTGAGCTGTTAGCACGGAGCCTGACGCGGGGCTCCGACTCATGAACCGTGAGATCATGTCCTGAGCCCAGGTCAGACGCTCAACAGACTGAGCCACCCAGGCGCCCTGAGAAACAAATACTTTAAAAGTAACTTGGTAGTTTTTTGTTTTTTTTTTAAACATCAAAATAGTGGCCAAAGAAGATACAAAGTAAATTCTGTTGGATTCATTTGTGCTTATTGTACTGTTTAACATCGGGTTTATTTTGAATTACCTGCGTAGGAATAATCTGACTTTTCTGATATTCACCTTCTCCAAGGATCTTTTTTTTATTTTTCATTTTTTTAACGTTTATTTATTATTGAGAGGCTGAGACAGAGAGTGAGCAGGGGAAGGGCAGACAGAGAGGGAGACATAGAATCCGAAGCAGGCTCCAGACTATGAGCCATCAGCACAGAGCCCAACGCAGGGCGTGAACTCACGAACCGTGAGATCGTGACCTGAGCCGAAGCCAGTCGCTTAACTGACTGAGCCACCCAGGCGCCCCTCCAAGGATCTTAATCTGACCTGGCGGAGACCCTTTTGTCCCGTAGTGTGATTCTCGGGGCACATGCCCGGCCAGACCTGGATCTCCGCGACCCTGTCTGTGATGACTTCTTTCAGCTGTGGCAGGACACAGCCGAGAGCAATGCCAATATCTATGAGCAGGTGGGCACCGAGCAGGGCTGACTGTGTGGAAATCCACGGGTTATCCCGTCCGGGGTAGGATGGAGGCCCCACTGCCAAGCCGTTCCCAAAAGGGGGATGAGGGTGTGGGGGGCGGGCACATCGTGGGATTCAGTGGCTCAGGGTCAGCGTGGGGGGATATGGTGTGGGGAGCGGGGGCACCTTGGACTCTTGGCCGAGGGTCTCCAAGCCCCACTGGCTTCTGTGCCCCCCACCCACAGATCTTCCGCTGCCTGCCGTCCAATGCCACACGCTCTCTCAGGGCACTCCGGGAGTACGTGGCCGTGGAGCCCCTGGCCACAGTCAGCCCACCTTTGGCCCGGTCTGAGCTCACCCAGGTCCAGGGCCACCTGGTCCACTTTCCCCTCAAGTTCCTGGAGGATGAGTCTTTGCTGCCCCCCCTGGGGAGCAAGGAAGGCGTGATGCCCCTCGAAGTGTGGACATAGCTACGGCTTCAGCCCGGGACAGCTTACCTGCCGCTGGGCTCCACCGAGGCTGGAGGGCTCCCTCACGCTGGAGGGCAGTGCCCTCCGAGACCAGGGGGAGGGCAGGCACGCCGGAAGAGGACTAGAGAAGACAAGCCACGGGGTCCCTTCCTTGAGAAGCAGCTGAAGAGGTCACTCCGCCTCTGGGCTGGCGGGACGGGGGTTGGGGGGGGCGGGAGGGCATTCTGAGTTCCTCCCCCCTGCCGCCCGGTTCAAACCCCTGTTCCAGGGCAGAGGCAGACCCTTGCCCCCACGCCCGGGATGCCTCCCTGGGGGAGGCCCTGTCCTGGGCCTTCCTCCTCCTGCCCCCGAACCCCCTCTCTGCCATTACTGCCAAGGTGGAGGGAAGAGCGAAGCCCCGCCCCCAGCTTCGCCCCCGCGGTGGGCAGGGCGGGGGCTGGGGTGCACACGGGGTGCACACTTACCCCCTCCGCTGCCTGTGGACAAACACTAGCTTTGTATCCGTTCAGTGAGCATTTCAAAAATAAACGCCTAGTCTAGACAAGGTCCCCGGCTCTTCCCGGGCCGAACCGCGGCCCGAGCGCACGCCTCCCCGTTCCCGCCCGCACGTGGCACTGGGGCCCCGCGCCTTCGCCCCACCCGCCTCCCGGCTCCTTCCTGCGGCCTCATCCCCACTGCACCTGCCTGTAGTTTCCGGAGCTCCGTCCCCCAGCTGCTGGGAAGGGGAGGTGTTGGAGAAGGAAGGGCAGGGCCACCCCAGGACGCCTGGAGGGCCTGGGAGCTGCCGCTTCAGCTGCACGGGAGAGAAGGGCTGGGCTCAGAGGGGCCGTCACTCGTTCCGCGGGTGACAGCACAGGAAGAGGCGTAGGGGAGCCCCCGTGGGAACGGTTAAGGGTACAGGCTTCAGGGCAGGAAGAACTGGGCCCGCATCCTGGGCCTGTCATCACCTAGGCGACGTTCTCAAGTCTTATCGCTTCTCCGGGCCTCAGTGGCCCCAGCTGGGAAATGGGAATGGTTCTTCCATAAATGGCCGGCTGCAGAGACGTAGTGGGTGATTTATAGATTTGGGGCGCGTCCGCCGTTTGCCACACGCCGCCCTAGCAAGTGCTCGGTGGCCACTCGTGCCAGGGGTCAGCACATCAAGCAGTTACAGGCCGTTTGTATCACCGCACAAAGTTCCACAGGCCAGCACCACTGCAGAGGGAAGAGAGACAACACAGGCATACTCAGCGGTAGAAAGGTCCCGTTCCAGACCGTGGCCATAAAGCCAACATTGCAGTAAAGTGACTCACATGAATGTTTGGGCTTCCCGGGGCACGTAGCAGTTAGGTCCACATTCTTGGTCTCTTTTACTTTGATGCACCAAGAAGCTGTTTCCGGTTAAACATTGTTGCGGCCGCTGGGTTTCATTGCTCTGTATTAACACAGGCATACGTGCCATTAAATCCTAACATCATAAAAAAAAGGTTATGTTTACACTATACTGTAATCTATTCAGTGTGCAATAGTATTGTGTCTACCAACAACAACAACAACAAAATCAACGTACATACCTTAATTAAAAAAATATAGGGGTGCCTGGGTGGCGCAGTCGGTTAAGCGTCCGACTTCAGCCACGATCTCGCGGTCCGGGAGTTCGAGCCCCGCGTCGGGCTCTGGGCTGATGGCTCAGAGCCTGGAGCCTGTTTCCGATTTTGTGTCTCCCTCTCGCTCTGCCCCTCGCCCGTTCATGCTCTGTCTCTCTCTGTCCCAAAAATAAATAAAACGTTGAAAAAAAATTAAAAAAATATATATATTGCCAGGGCGTTTGGCTGGCTCAGTCGGAGAAACATGTGACTCTTGATCTCAGAGTTGTGAGTTCGAGCCCCACGCTGGGTATAGAGATTACTTAAATGAACTTAAAAAAATTGGTTTTTAAATTTTTTTTAAATAAAAAATATTGCTAAAAATTGCTACACGTTATTCGAGCCTTTGGTGAGTCAGAATCGATCACTGATCACCACTGCAAATATAAGGATGAAGAATTTGAAATATCGCAAGAATTACCAAAATGTGACCCAAAGTGAACAACAAATGTTGTTGGGAAAATGGCACCAACAGACTTGCTTGACACAGGGTTGCCGCAAACCTCCCATTTTTTAAAAAAAATATGCTTGGGGCGCCTGGGTGGCTCAGTTGCTTGGGCGTCCGACTTCAGCTCAGGTCATGATCTCGCGGTTCGTGAGTTCGAGCCCCACGTCGGGCTCTGTGCTGACAGCTTCGGAGCCTGGAGCCTGCTTCGGATTCTGGGTCTCCCTCTCTCTCTGCCCCTCCCCCACCCACGCTCTGTCTCTACCAAAAAAATGAATAAATGTTAAAAAAATTAAAAAAATATATGCTAAAACTAGGCCTGCCTGTAAATGCTATGAGTGTGGCACACATTGGGATGAAGAAGGTCACCTCCCAGGGCAGGTGAGGAGGAGGCGATAATGGGTATACAGAGAGAGTTCTCCACGTGAATTGGTAGCATTTCTCTCTCTCTCTTTTTTAATGTTTATTTTGAGAGAGAGGGAGAGAGAATCCCAAGCAGGCTCCGTGCTGCCAGTGCGGAGCTCTACTCGGGAGATGATGACCTGAGCTGAAATGGAGAGTCTGACGCTTAACCGACTGAACCACTCAGGCGCCCCGTGTAATTTCTCTCTTAAGCTGAGTGGTCGGTCGATGAAGTTGTAATATACATATTCCTATCTCTTTCTGTATCCGAACTACTTTGCAATTAGAGAAAAAGTTGCCCACAGATCCTGGCTTTCGCCCTTGATGTCCCTCAGCCTCGGTCTTGGAACTGACCACAGGAGCGGGGAGAAACGAGCTGGGGGTGGGGCAGGGCAAGCAGTTTAGGAAGGCTTTCTGGAAGAGGGGGCATGCTGGTGGATGACAGCCTGGAGGGAGGGGAGGCTCGCCACCTGGCTCCCGGCCTTTGAATCCAGCCCTCCTTTCCTCTGAAGAAGCCCCCATCACAGGAGAAATCCTCCCCCTCCCACATCCAACGGTCCCCTGGTACTAATTGGCATTCTGCTAATTAGCCTCATTGTCAGCCTAAGTGCCTCCTTCCCTGGGGGACTTTTACCTCATTAACTGTGGAGGAGGGCAGTGGGGGCGGCAGCTGTCCCGTGGTGGGCTGGGGCTGGTGGGTTTCTGCACCACACTGCTGGTCCCTCAGCACCACCCCTGAATCCCACATTAGTCCTGGAGTTTCTCGAATGGAGGCCACCATAGTGCGGGGGGCAAGCAGCGGGCTTGGAACCAGAAGAGGTGGCCCTAGACCCGGCAAGAGAAGGAATCCAGCCTCCCAAGGTGGGCGGGAGGTCCTGACGGCCCCTGGGCCCGTATGAGATGTTCATCCATCTCCGAGGGGTCCTATAAGTTGTCTTATTTTTAATATTTTAACTTTCCTTGAAGCCCGATCCAGGGCTTTCTCTACCACATCATCTCTAAGTTTTTATTACAGACAGTCTCTTATACAAAAGACAATACAAACTCTCATGTATCCATATGTCCCCCCCCTTTTTTTTTTTAATGTTTGGGGCCAAGCAGCTCTTTATTGATTTCGTTTGTCCTCGGAGGAGGGGGTGTCTTTTTTTTAATATCTCAAGAAACCACTAAACTCTAGGTTAATTGACAGAATGCTTCCATAGGAGCCATGCAAACAGTGAGCATGACTCTGAGGACCGGGACAATTCTGCAGTGTATTCAGGTTCTAGCAGTTACTGTTAAAGGAGCCTGAGGAAAACAAATTCAGCAGGTCAGCCTCTCTGGAAGCCATCAGATGTGAAGATCTGCACAGAATGTGTCTGATTCACAACCGGAATAAACCAACCTGGGGATCCTTTATAATTCGTGTGTGTGTGTGTGTGTATGGGGCTAGGGGTCACTATTACTATTCTGTGGAGGCGGAGATTAGGGTCACTGTACATTGAATTTCTCCAGCTTCAGTAATTATGAGCACAGGGGGTCAGTCCTGTTTCTCTGCACTTTTCACCTTCCAGATTGCACTGCCTTTTGAGGTTTGAGGGCTATCCTATCCTTGTGGTCTTCATTTGCTCATTCATTGATTCAGCAGCTCCCCCCCCCTTTTTAAAAATATTTATTGAAAGAGAGAGACAGAGAGAGACAGAGAGAGAGCGAGCACAACCTGGGTAGGGCCAGAGGGAGACAGAGTGAGAGAGAATCCCAAGCAGCCTCCGCACTCCGATGAGGGGTTCCAATTCATGAACTGTGAGAACATGACCTGAGCCGGAATCAAGAGTCAGCCGCTTAACCGACTGAGCCACCCAGGTGCCCGAATTCAGTATCCCTTATTAAACACTGCCTATGAGTCGGGCATAAGTAAACTTATCAAAGACCTAGTATATGCCAAGTGCTTTACATATCTAATTTTACTTTATTAATCTCCCTATTATCTCTAAGTCTCCGAGAGATTAATGACCTGTCCAAAGCACTAACTTCAAATCGTTTTTTTCCCTCCTCTCCCATGGTTTTGATCTTGCATGAGCGCCTGCCCAGATAACAGAGGGCTTCATTCACTTACGTGATATGGAACCTCTAATGGGTGCCAAGACCTGTACTGAACAAGGCCGACATGACTGCTGCCTTTAAGGAGATTCAACAGACACTTAAAAGTGTCAAACGTGGGCATGCATTGAAGTCAGGCAGCTAAAACAGAAGAGCTAAACTCAGCCCTAGTGGGTCAGGGAAGGCTTCCTGGAGGAGGTGACTTCGACACACGTAGGACAAAGCAAAAGGCAGTGAGAGTGGGCATGGGCCGAATATTCCTGGGAGAAGAAACAGCGGGTGCACAAGCTGCAGGAGGGTCTGTTGCGTTCTGGCCACTGTGAGTAGATTTCAACATGGCTAGAATATATGAGACTGAATGGTGGAGTGGTGAAAAACAAGGCAGGAGAAGCAGGCAGAATCTTGAAGTTCTTTGGTGCCGTACTGTATTCAAAAGACAGAGAGGAGGG